TTTCCCAAGCCATCCTCTATTTGTTGGCTTCTACTGCTGTTCATACCCAATGACAATCTAGGACTATTTCGGATCTAGTGTCCATTTCCATTCCCCTTTAGCACTGTCGCCGTTTGGGGCCTTTCTGGGGTAATATTACCATATGATGTAAATTTCCTTAGCGTGCCTGATTGAGACCCTTTGAGCCCTGCTCCCTTAGGACCTTTATTCTTCATATCCTCTATATATCTTTTGTCTTCTATATGTTCTAGATGAGGGTGTACCTCTCCTTTATGTTTGTGCTCCAGACAGGTTTGCAGATTTTCCTTGTGTTTTGCTCTCCTGGGGCTTTTCTCTTCTAAACCCAGGGAATCCTCCTTGACCCCTTAATCCCCAATGTCACTCAGTAGTCCACTGCACAACAGACCCCCCCACAGCTCTCACTCACCCTTCTCTTCCCAAGACGGTGGCTCCAAGCATGAGTGGAGGGCCTTCACATCAGCTCTGTCCTGGGGGGGATTCCTCTGGTCTTCCACGCTATGCCTCGTTTTTCCTCTCTGGGCTTCGTCCCAGGGATGCAGGGTGGGTCTCCCAATGCTCCCGGGTTTCCCCGGATTGAACAGTCTACTGGCCGGGGGCCGCAGGCAACAGCAAGCCAGGAGACACGGCCAGTAACAAGCCGGAGGTTGTAGGCAGCAATAAGCCGGGGGTTATGGGCAGCAGGGAGCCGGTAAAACAGTAAGCCGGCGTCTCCCTGTCTCATCAGGCGGCCAGCCGGCTTCTCCCAGAGATCCTCCGTGGTTGCATACACGCCCCCGCCGCGTCACCTCGCCTCCCAGCCGTCCGGATCCCTCTCTCACGAGGCGCCGGAGGGGGCCAGCGCGTCACTGCAGCCTCCGTCCAGCTCCCATCTCCGTCTCTCCGGGCTCCATTCCAAGTGCTCCAGACTCCGGTGAGTCGTTCTCTAAGGGTCACTAGGGAGGTCGGGAAGCGGGACCTAGCCGATAGCTAGTGCCGCTCGCTCCCCTCAGCCGCCATGTCCAGGCTCCCCGTGATCAATATCTTGATCCGTACAAACATCATACTAGTAATGGTGGTGATCAGTGACCTATAGCGTGAGTGCGATAGTGTGCGGACAATTTAATGCAAGCTGACCCTGCTGGGTGGGGCACTTACTGACCCTGACGTTATCTGATGTCGATAGTGGCAGGAATACAGTGATCAGTGAAAAATTCTATATACTGACACTGTACTAATGGCACTGGTTGAGTGACAGGGTGATCAAAGGGTTAATAGGGGCAATTAAAGGGTTGAATGTGCTAATCTAACGTGTGTGTAAAATGTATGCTAAATTTTACTTGGTACCATGTTCTCTCTTCTCTCCCTTGTCCGATGGGGGGGGCGCGGGGGGTGCAAGCGCATTCACACCCCAAAATGGGATGTGACGCAAGATTACGTTGCTTTACCAAGAGCTGCTGCTCACCCGCCCACAAAATGCGAGTAAGCGGTTGGCAAGCAGTTAGAAAAAAAAATGTTAAACAAAAAAAAAAAACCTTGCAATATGGTATTTTTTTTTAAATTATTATTTTTTTAATACTTTTATCAGAATAGTACATTCTACTACTGTGGGGGATGATCAGGGATTTTTTTCTTTTTTTACACTTTGCTTTGCAGGAGAAATAAAGATCATTTCTCCTGCAATGCAAAGTTAGCTGTCATGAACCTAACTCATTTATGAACTGTCATGAATGAGTTAAGTTTTGACAGCTCAGGATAGTGATCTGTGACTGGCTGGAGCTGGTACAGGGTGCTGTGATTGGCCCCATGTATCATGTGACAGCGGTGGGCCAATCACAGCTCACTAGGAAGTGGAGTAGAGCTGTTATGAATGAGATTGATTTATAACAGCTTTGCTTACATTGTGATCGCAACATGATAACCGGGTCCCTTTAACCTCTTCAGCCCCAGCGACTGCATATGTACGTTTGCAGAGCGGCACGGCTGCACAAAACCACGTTTTAAAACGTGGTTTTGCAAAACAGGTAGGGGGTGCGTGCCCGCCCTACCTGTCCCGCGGGTGTCAGCAGCGGGTCTCCGTCGCCGGGTCACGGCCGGTCATTACCGGCTGTTTCCCTGTGATTCGCGGTGATCGCTGACAGAGAGCAGGGCTGCATTGTTTATACACAGCCCTGCTCTCTGTCAGTTCGTCACAAGCTGAAGAGGGAGAGAAGAGTTTCTCTCTCTTGATCAGCCTGTCCCTGTCCAGCAAACACCCCCGCCCCCTAGTAAAACACTCCCCTAACACAGTAAACCCTAAAAATGTTAACCCCTTCCTCCCCAGTGCCATTAGTACAGTGTCAGTGGGTTTTTTTCTTTTCACTGATCACTGTATTGGTGTCACTGGGGATGTCAGTGACCCCAAGTCAGTTCCCCCCCAGTGTCAAAATGTCCGCCGCAGTCACGCCATAAGTCGCTGATCGCCGCATTAGTATAAAAAAAATTAAAAATCCCAGTATCTTTCCTGCCATTTGTAAACGCTATAACTTTCCTGTAAACAAATTTACACGTATTGGGATATTTTTTTTTAGCAGACATGTCGCAGAATGCATTTTGGATGAAATTTGTGACAAAAAATTAGATTTTTTTTTTTTTTTTTACTGGACATGTTTTATAGCAAAGTCCAAAATATTGTTTTTTTTTTTTTTTCTCAAAATTGTCAGCCTTTTTTTTTTATAGCGCAAAAAATTAAAAACGCACAGGCGATCAAATACCACCGAAAGAAAGCTCAATTTGTGGGACGAAAAGGATGTAAATGTAATTTGGGTGCAGTGTTGCATGACCGCGCAATTGTCTGTTAAAGTAACGCAGTGCCTTAACATGAACCTCTTCTGTAACCGCTTCCTGACCACCCTACAGCAGAAATACTGCTACAGGGCGGCATGGGTACGCAAAATCAAATTACACACACTTCGCACTCCCGTGGTTTTCACACCCCTCCCAGATAGCTTCAGATTGCCCGTCAGTACACCAGTCATCACATTTAACCCCTTGATTGCCAGGAGCACGCTCATGTACAATAAACCTCCATTGCTAGTATAGTGTCTGAACGGGTTAATATCTTTGATTAGGTCAGCACTATACCAGCGTTCACATTAGTATAGCATCCCCAAAAACACAGCGTTAGCGGGATCAGCCCCGCCACCTGCGTTTAGCCCCTACGCTTACCCCCCCTTCCTGACTACCTATCACAGTTTCGGAGGCCATGAAATGCAAGGATAGCACCTAACCCCCCAAATTACCCCTTTTTGGAAAGTAGACGCCCCAAGGAATTTGATAAAAATCACCGTAAGTATTTTGCAGATCTCATTTGTTGCCACAAGTTTTTGTAAAATGAAGAAAAAAAAAAACATTTTTTCTATTTTTTTTATATTTCAAAACCTTGTGAGAAAAAATGAGATCTGCAAAATACTCACCATGCCTCTTTTTAAATTCCTTGGGGTGTCTACTTTCCAGAAAGGGGTCATTTGGGGGGGTTTGGGGCTATCCTGGCATGTCAGGGCCTTCGAAACTGTGATAGGTAGTGAGGAAGTGAAATGAAGAAGTTACGCACCTTCAGGCTTTCAAAGTGGTCATTGGATTTCAGGCTCCTGTATGTGGTTAGGCTCTCAAAAAGTCTCACACATGTGGTATCCCCATACTCAGTAGAAGTAGCAGAATGTATTTTGGGGTGTAATTCCACATATACCCATGGCTTGTGCGAGAAATAAATCATTTAAATGACAACTTTGTAAAAAAAAAAAAAAAAAAAAAAAAGTTTTTGTCATTTTCCAGAAACTTGTGGCAAAAAAAAAAAAAAATCTTCCATGGACTCAATATGCCTCTCAGCAGATAGCTTAGGGTGTCTAATTTCCGAAAAGGGGTCATTTAAGGGTGTTTGTACTATTCCCAGAACATGCTCTCCTGCATGCCCCCGGCGGCGCGCACCTGCTGATCTCTGTGTCCTATGGACACAGCTGATCACGTGATGTGGTAAAATGCCAATCACAGCGGCATTTTACCACCAATGACACGCGGAACACCAAGAAATGCAATTGTCGGTTCTCGGCTGCACTTTTCTCATGCTGTCAGAGCGTGAGGAAAGTACTGCCGAGAACCGGCAGTTGTCAGAGCAGGAATTGGCAGCGATCATCAGGGCACTGATGATCGCCGCCCACCAGTGGTACCATTCAGTGCCCTCTATCCGTACCCATCATCAGTGCCACCTCATTAGGGCTGCCTATCAGTGCAGCCTCATCAACGCACATCAGCGAATGAGAAAAATGACCTGTTTGCAAAATTTTATAATAGAAACAAAGAAACTTTTTTTAAAATTTTCAAATGTTTTGCTCTTTGTTCATAGCGCAAAAAGTAAAACTACCAGCAGCAAGTAAATACCACCAAAAGAAAGCTCTTTGTGAGAAAAAAAAAAATGATAATTTCATATGGGTATAATGTTGCATGACCACATAATTGTCATTCAAAGTGTGACAGCGCTGACAGCTGAAAATTTGCCTGGTAAGGAAGGGGGTATAAGTGCCCGGTAGGCAAGTGGTTAATGTGAGTAACATGTGCATAAAAGAATAAAGCATGTGACATATTTTAACATCCAGAGCTGTTCTAGACAATAAAAGTATTTTCAGTAAGAGAGAATAAGGAGCAAATAATAGTAGCCAGGAAAAATAATGCAACCATGAAAATTGTGCTGGTCAATGGAAGAGGGCCCCACTACACTGGAAAGCATATAACTAAGGCAATGTTGCAGCAAAAATTACTTTCTAAAAAATGTTAGACTAATAACACAGATAGTTCCAGAAAATGAATGGTGTAAACCTTAACATACATTTAGGTGAATGAGCTGAAGACACACACTGGATGTCATTTATCAAATTCTGGGAGCAAACAAGTGGGAATCCTGTTGGTCGCTTTGGGCTGTAGAGAAATATACACACTGTCTGAGCAATAAGATCTTTCCATGTACTTACTTTGCTGCTTCTCCTTCCAGCAGTTATTCCTAAGATTAGCTATGAAGTCCTCTTCTACACTTCTTTCCACATTTCTCCGATTACCACCAGTGTACTCATCTTCAAAGTTTTCAGACACAAAATATGGGACCTTGAGGTGCTCGGTGATCCTCTTATGTATATGACCCACAGACCTGCATGCAGAGGAAGCCAACAACAGTCATATGATCGGATTCTGGGGATGATGTGTTCTTACTCCAGTGATGAATATTAGGGAAACATGGAGGCTGCCATCACTGAGCTCTCTCAGAACACTTGTTCCTTGGCCTTCACACAGACTCTCTGAATTCAATACTCAAGTCTATGCCCTGGAACAAGTATACAGACTTTCCTCTGTTCTGCATACTTGATCCAGGTCAGTCACAAAAAGTATTCAGTTTAGTGTGGAAGTAGCATAACCGCCAAGCAACTGGGTTTTTTCAGAGGGCAATCAGCCTCCATACATCTTTGACAGGTTTACTTTAAGACTGTATTTTCATTGCAATTATTTACAATAGGCTCCAACATGTTATTGACCTTGTGCCCATAATTAGGGCAGTAGAGGAAGTCCTGGCCTGTATACAGAACCTGTTTTACTCTATAGGGACAGGCTCTCCTCATTCCTTGTACAGGTAAGACTTCTCAGGCGTATACAGCACATACATTTGTTTCGGTACAGTTTCCAAAAAGTGATGGATGTCACCTCCCCCCTGTGTTTCATATTTTGGCATTGCAAAAGTGAAAGAAAGATAAAAAGGGGGAAAAAAATTACATGTATAGAAGGCCTTTGCTATTAAGCAGACATGGTGATTACAATATATTTATTGGCTGACATTTATCAACACTGTCTTTATGATTGTGGTTGCCAATCTGTTGCAAGTTAGGTATAGATTTATTATCTTTACTCAAGCTGCATAATAAATTAGAATGTTTGCACCAGTTTAAAAAATTGCTCCTTAGAACTCCGAGTTCTGTGGCAGATGTGGGGACCATGAACACACAAAAGTGGTGCTGGCTCCTTCATTGTAAAGTGACTTTTGACATTACCAGTGAGCAGCACAGTATTACTACATATGGGAGTAGCCTTATACTCAGAAGCCTTTTGTGGTCTGTTATATCAAACAGTACATATCGTTACCAACTCCAGATGCAGACATCTAAATTTAATCATCAAAGATGAAAGTGTGCACTGGGGTGAAAGACGTTCAAGTGAACCCATGGTATAGACCTTTCATCTACACCATAACCGCACCACCCTTTTTATTAGGAGCCAGTGGGAACACTTTTCTCAACTGGACCACAAAACATGAGGACACTCCTACAAATGGCATTACATACACATTGCTGGCTGCGATCTGTTTATCTCTGTGATTTTATCATACAGTCTTTGAAAGTGTTTTTTTTTTCCCCTTCCCAGGTACCCGGTGTTCAAAAGGTTTGAAGACAAATCTACTGAGAAGGACCACCGCTGCAAGAATATTCCCTAGCAGAAAACTCATCTCCTATTGCCCTTTCCAGTATATTGACTTTGTGTAATTCCTAAAATAAAAAATATTCCACAGCTGTTTTTTTTATTATATGTTACTTTTCTCTTCGAATAGAGAACAATCACATTAGCAAATAACCATTCAGCACTGTGTTTTTATGTTTATGAAAAATATATTTTTACTATTATACAAGCATGAAGAGATATATCCAGCTGGTGGAATTCTGGATCTACACGATCTCCAAATGCTTACAGAACCTGAAGGATAGAAAGGAATTCCTACTCAGTTACTCACGGTCTATGGCTGAGGCTGTAAGGCGGATTGGACACCATCATCTGACTTAGTGCAGATACAATGATCAGGATCAAGATAGATAGGCATCAACTGGACAAACATTCCAAGACTTCCCTGTATAGATAACAGCATTATTAATACCTACTTTAGGATCAAAGAAAGATTCATACTATCACCTGCCACAATTTGTATTTGTGTCTGCTAAAATTGGTCACTTCTAGTCACTAGTGCTGGAGGGAACTGCTGAGCTTGCACCAATTTATACAGCAAAGAATACATATCTGCACACTCATCTGTGTATGATAGATAGATATATCTATCTCTCTAATATACCAGTAAGTTCGTTAAAAGTGAAAGGAAGAGTTTATCCCAATATAAGAATAAACAATCGAATCCCTGCAGGTTGCCTTTCATCTCTCAATTCCACCCCTATTCTAATTGAGTTCTAAATATAATAAAAAAACATTGGTTCCTCTTGAGTACTAATTATCTGTATCAGAGTGTATCTCCCCCTTTACCTTCTTATCCCCAGAGGAGAATTTTATTGATCTGATCTGTCATATACAGTCCTCTTAAATTGCCTCTCACATTTTTAGGTCTATATAATTTTGGTTCGTATTCTTGTCTGAGTTGTATACAATGTAACAGCATGATTAAGGGAAAATCTTTCCCCCATCCACATTTGGGTCATAATATACCATATAAAGACCACTATACCTGCCAGTTTGTGGTATATATAATAAAATGTCCATGTGGCTTGTTATAGATTGATGAGACTACTCAAAAAGGGTAAAAGGACAGGATGGCTGGACATAAGTACTCTATTAGAGATAAACTTAAGTTACCTCTAGCCAGACATTTTGTGGAAAAGGGTCATATTGTTTCTCAACTCAAGTTTATGGTCATTAACGGGATACCAAAAAACAGATGTGGCGGTATTACAGTTGAGACAACGAGACGTCCAGTGGATTCATCATCTGGACACATTAACCCCCAAGGGACTCAATTCAGATTTTGACCTATATTTATTTCTTTAACATTTTCAAGAATTGTTTCCTTTTTTTCCCATTATTATTGTGCATATGTTTATTAACATTTTTTTTTGTTGTTAGTTTAAATTGTGTATATATGGGTTTTTTTTCCCTATGCCTGCATTCTACACCTGTGGCATAGAAGCTTTTTCTACCTGACAGATTTTTTGCTCCAGCCACATTCTTTAGAAAATGTTTAATTTGGGTTAATTGAATAATTGATTCCAACTTCGCTGATTATATATATTTATATTTTTGGTTTCCATTTGTACATGTGTTCTGATCTGGAGAAGGGCGTTATCTGAACAAGCTTGAAACGGTTTGTGGTACCTGTTTTTTTGTTCTTTTAGAAATAACCAAATGGAACATAAATTAACAGAAGAGAAATCCAAACCAAATCAATATTTGGTGTGACATGCCTTCAAAACAGCATCAATTCTTCTAGATACAGTTTTTGAAGGAACTTCGCAGGTAGTTTGTTCCAAACATCTTGAAGAATTAACCACAGATCTTCTGCGGATGTAGGCTGCCCCAGTTTCTTCATGTAATCACAGACAGACTCGATGATGTTGAGATCAGGGCCCTGGGGGGACCAAACTATCACTTTCAGGACTCCTCATTCTTCTTTATGCTAAAGATAATTCTTAAAGTGGTTCTAATGGCTCAGTGTATTCTACACACGAAGGTAAAAAAGCTTCTGTGTGCGGCAGCTGCAACCCCCCCCCCCCCCCCCCCCCCCCAATTCCTTATCTGAGCCCCCTCCGATCCAGCGATGTTCTGGACAGCCTCTGTTTTCTCAGGACTCTTCCTTCTCATTGGCTGAGACAGCAACGGGAGACCATTGGCTTCCACTGCTGTCAATCAATGAGGAGAGAGTAGGGGCGGGGCTGAGCCACGGTTCTATGTGTTTTATGGACGCATAGAGCAGCAGCTTGGGGATGAGCGTGCAGAGGTTCCCCCAGGGCGAGCAGCTTTCCCTGGGGCCACTGCTTGAGGAGGAGGAGCCAGGAGCGCTGGAGGGGAGCCAAAAAAAAAAAAAAAAAAAAAAAAAAAAAAAAAAAGGATCAGGGCTGCTCTGTGCAAAATCACTGCACAGAGCAGGTAAGTATAGACATGATTGTTGCTTTAGAAAAAAAAAAAACAAGCTTTAGTGTCACTTTAACCACTTGCCGCCCTCCTGAGGATTTACCCCCCTTCCTGACCAGGCCATTTTTTGCATTACGGTGATGCGTTATTTTAACTGACAAGTGCGCGGCCATGCAATGCTGCACCCAAATGAAATTTATGTCCTTTTTCCCCACGAATTGAGATTTCTTTTGGTGGTATTTGATCGCCTGTGCGTTTATTTTTTGCGCTATAAAAAAGAAAAAAAATACGACAATTTCGAGGAGAGGAAAAAAAAAACAAAAAACTATTTTTGGCTTTTTGTTATTAAACATGTCCATTAAAAAATAAAATTTCATCATAAAAATTTAGGCCAAAATGTCTTTGCTAAGAAAAAAAAAAATCCCAATACATGTAAATGAATTGGTTTACGTGAAATTATAGCGTTTACAAATGGCGGTATATATACTGGGAATTTTTTTCTTTTGTTACTACTAATGGCGATCAGCAACTTATAGCGGGACTGTGGCGGACAATCTGACACTGGGGGGAACCGACTTGGTGTCACTGACATCCCCAGTGACACCAATACAGTGATCAGTGCTAAAAAAAAAAAACCCACAAGCACTGACACTGTACTAATGGCACTGGGCAGAAAGGGGTTACCATGAGGGGCGATCAAAGGGTTAACTGTGTGCTGGGTGTGTTTTACTAAGGGAAGGTGTCTGTGTGTCACTGTAAGCACACTGCTTGGGATGGCTGTGCTATGTATAGCCATCCCAAGCAGTGTGCCGAGCTGACAGGGAGAACGGTTAGTGAACAAAACAGTTCTCCTCCTCGTTGGAGCTTCTCGGTAATCACTGGCCAGGATCCGGTGATTGACAGCCGCGAATGGCGGCACAAGTAAGGAAAAAAATGTCACCAGCACACCGAGGATCACCAATGTGTGACACATGTCTGATGAAGGGGTCCTGCTAGACTCTGAAACGTTGCCTTGCTGAAACTATGTGATGGTTTATTAAAACCTTTGGACTCACATTGGTGATCCGCAGTGTGCTGGTGACATTTTTTTCCTTGCTGATTTTGTTTGGTTCCAGCCGACGGTCACTGCAGCACCCACTATTACACAGAGCCATTTTTAACGCAGGAACGTGTGCGTTTGGATTATACACTTGCATGGCGGCACGAGTAAGACGCACGTCCCCTACCCAGAAATGCAAAATCACGTGTGTGTGAGAATTTGCGCACCTGTGCCGCACTGTAGCAGTATTTCTGCTATAGGGCAGTCAGTAAGCGGTTAATGACACTGGCTGCATGGTTGGGGTCGTTATCCTGCCACAGAATAAATTTGGGGCCAATCACACGGCTCCCTGATGGTGTGGCATGATGGACAAATATCTGCTTGTTTCTCAGCATTGAGGACAACATTGATCCTGGCCAAATCCCCAACTCCCATTTGCAGAAATGCAGCCCCAAACTTGCAAGGAACCTCCACTGCGCTTCACTGCTTCCTGCAGACAGTCATTTTTCTGCTCTCCAGCCCTTCGGCTAACAAACTGCCATTTGCTACAGCCATAAAACAAAATTTTGACTCATCAGTCTAGAATACCTGCTGCCAGGTTTTTGCACCCCAGTTCATATGTTTTTGTGCATAGTTGAGTGCATAGAAAAATGACAGCAAATGTTCTGGACAGAGGAGTCAAAATTTGAAACATCTGGCTGTAGCAAGAGGCAGTTTGTAGACGAAGGGCTGGAGAGCGGTGCAACAATGAGTGTTTGCAGGCACTCTGTGAAGTATGGTGGAGGTTCCTTGCATGTTTGGGGCTGCATTTCCTCAGATAGAGTTGGAGATTTGGTCAGAATCAATGATGTCCTCAAAGTTGAGAGATACAGGCAGATACTTGCCCATCATGCCATACCGTACCATCAGGGAGGTGTGCATGATTGGCCCCAAATTTAGTCTGCAGCAGGAACCCCCCCCCCCCCAAACATACAGCCAATGTAATTAATCTTCAGCATAAAGAACAAGGAGTCCTGGAAGTGACTGTATGGCTCCCCATGCAGCCCTGATCTCAACATCATGGAGTCTGTCTGGGATTACATGAAGAGACAGAAGGATTTGAGGCAGTGTACATCCACAACTCTTTGGTTAATTTTCCAAGATATTTTTGAACAACCTACCAGCTGACTTCCTTCAAAAACTGTGTGCAAATGTACCTAGATGAATTGATGTTGTTTTTCTAAGCAAACAGTGGTCACTCCAAAGATTGACTTGATTTGGATTTTCTCTTCTGTTCATTTTCCATTTTTGTTAACGCATTACTAAACCCAGGACCCTGCATTCACTAGTGTCTGACTGAGCACTGGTTAAAGCTTTTAGGTGGAGTTTTCATTCTGCTCTGACTGTGTCCTATGAGGCTGCATGACCCCTGACTCTGTATAGACCGTGCTGATTGGCCCTGTGCTGATCCCCCCCCCCAAAAAAATAAACACTCTAGCCATACACACTAAACTGAGCATGTGCAGAATGCCTCCTAGGGCTCTGTTCTATCAACGGATGGATTGGGGACAGTAGAAGGGGAGGATCAGAGAAGTCAGGATCAAACAGCCTTTTTACACAATGCAGTGGAATAACCCCTTAGGTTCCACAGTGAGTATAACAAGCATGCTTTACTGCATATACAGGCTGATTTTACTGTTGTGGGTTTAGTAACACTTTAATAGATAAAAATAAACTATTAACACTTATATTTCTGAAAGCATTCTTAATTTACAGCATTTTCCCCACCTGCCTTTTGCACAGTATTGTATATCACTGTTCAAAAAAATGATTTGTCAATGCAAGAAAACGTAAGTGAATGTGCAAACTTTATATTTTGAATGGTACTACAGTGTTACTGCTCATGCACATGGGTGCATTCCTCCTTACAGAGTAAGGCTGTAACAAGGTATGTTCTGCTCCTGGCATAGAGTGGTGCATACATACAAACATTAATCTGCGTTCAGGACCTTATGTCTGTACACTTGTCGCACGGTATGCAAGCAGTGGCACATACCTGTGTACAGCTACCTACACCCATTCATGTTTAAGGGTGGCTGCATGCACTGAAATACACAACCTGATTATGCTGTACGGAAGAATTTGCCTGAGTGTATGAGCCATCAGTACACAAAAACAGACAGGTCAGTGATAACAGAAAGATTTAATAGAGTCAATACAATGCCCAGCACATTGCTTGATTTTCAGCCTACTGAGTTACATGCGGTTGATTTATTAAAACTGGAGAGATCAAAATCTGGAGCAGCTCTGCATAGAAACCAGTCGGCTTCCAGGATTTTTTTTTTTTAAGGCTTAATTGAACAAGCTGAAGCTGATTGGCCATCACGTACAGCTGCACCAGATGTTACACTCTCCCGTTTTAGTGAATCAATCCCCATTGTATCACAAACCTGCTTTCTGCTGTCAGTGGTGGCTGGAATGGTACAAAACTCTGCTACTAATAAATGGGGTTGACAGTCAACAATGAAATCATCATGTATAAAGCACTAGCCACATATTGTGTATACTTAAAGGAGAGATAATACATTAAAAAACAAAACACACCCCGTTGTAGATTGTGTCACTATAAAACACAATGGTAACAGAAAATGAGGAATAATATGAAGTACAAAACAGAATTGGTCATTCTGAGCTTCTAAGAACAGATTTAGTCAGTCATAGTGATCCCTCTAGTGGTGAAATGCTCACTTTACAGCCAAGTCACAAAATGGAAACCTGGAGGCATTGTCAGATATATTTGAGCCCAAGTTTGAAGGAAAGAGGAAAAAAAACAGTTAAGGGCATCACATCCATTAATAACCCTGTCAGAGGTGTAAACAATAATGTTCTTATTGGTTTGAAAAACAATACGCTTAATGAACTCACATCTCCTTGATGTTCCCGCCGGTCTTGTCTCTGAGCATAGGTATAACGCATTCGGCCATTGCTGTACACATGGACATTACCTGGAATAGGTTCAGTTATTAGGTGACAATATTGCTCAAGAAAGATCCACCATCATATACAAAGCAGTTTAGAAGTCAGTTGAAAAGGTCAACTCCACTCAGTTGATAAATCAGTTATCTGCAGTAGTTTGCCTATTTGATCTAAGGCAGTCTTTTTTAATCAGAGTGCCTTGGCATAATGCCTAAATACTGTACACAAGTATAGCCAGCGGGTGGGTTAAGTCTGTTTAATTCTACAAAACCACAGGTTTTCTTTGTGCACCATTACAATCTTCCAGGCGCTGATGTCTAAACAACTGATGACGTCATTGGTTAATAAGAAGGATGTCAGGCTCCACACAGCATCCTAGTTTGCCTCTCCCTTGACCCCCCCTCTCCCAGCACTGGGGTCACATTAGCTGAGTGAGGCAGAAAAAAATGAGGGAGAAGAGAAAAACTGAAATAAAAGTCAGTACCAGGGTACAAAGGTGTATTTGTTTTGGAAGAATAAATCACCTCTAACATTGGGTGTCCTACATGTGTGGATGTTGCTGCATTCTGCAAAACTTTGTTTCGTTTTTTACATTTTAGAATAGGTTGCCTCGAGATTGTGCAGAATTTTAAAAGAGTGCCCTGACTTAAAGAAGGGTGAGAACCACTGATCTAAGGTAGGTTTACACCGTATTACAGAGAATCAATTAGAGGGTTGATACCATCAGTTGTTTTCAATGGACATGACCCCGGGTCATGACAAGGAATATTGGAGAGAATATATCTTAGAACAAAAGTCAGCAAAATTGTCCAGTTTGTGATTCCACGTGTCAGAAACAACTGACCCGCTGTAACCATGTAAGAGATATAGCTTATATCAGCTATACATGAACATGGTGCAGAAAGCGGTTTGGTAATGATCAAGGACCTCTTTTTTTCCAGCACTGTGCTTACCTACATATATAGTTCTAAGTGCTATTATCAGAAAAACTCAGCCAAAGATATGCTTACTAGATGGAAATCCTCCTCCGAAGAACATATTAAAGAGATCTTCAGGGGAGATGTCTGCTTCGAACCCTCTGTGGAAGTCGGAGTGTCCATGTCGAGATGGATTCACCTTTTCATCTCCAAACTGATCATACTGCTTCCTCTTCTCTGGATTGCTTAACACTGCATATGCATTCCCAATAGCTAGAATAAAACAATCACAATTGGAGATACTTTAAATGTAATTGAAGGCTTCACAGACGACACATTTACACAACAATAGGAGATGAACTGCCTGGACTGGCCAATGACACAAAGTGGTTGTGATATGAATGCATATTTTTTTTTTTTTTATATAAAACACAGGTAAAAAAAATACTCATATTGCATGCAGGTCTATGGACTTTGGTGCTGGTAGCACCAGTGTAACCATCAACCCCTGAGATTTCTTCATGGGGGTAGGGGAGGGTGTCAGATGAGGTCTGAAAGCACCCACAGATAAATGTTATCTAGCAAAGCTACATACAGTTGTGTTCAAAATAATAGCAGTCAGACATCACTAACCTGATCACTGTTTATGGTAGAAATGATATTTCTACATGGCAGATAATTTACTAGCAGGTGTAGTAGAGTAATAGAAATCCAACAGACCCAACAGTCATGACATGCATGCTGCTGATTCTGTATAATTGAATCACTAATTGACAGGGGCATGTTCAAAATAATAGCAGTGTGGAGTTCTATTAGTGAGGTCATTCATTCTTTGAAAAACAGGTGGCAATTATTGCCTTTATTTAAGGAAGGAAGGCAGCAAATGTTGTACATGCTGGTTACAGTGCATTTCTCTCTGAAATTCTGAGGCAAATGGGTCGTTCCAGACATTGTTCAGAAGAACAGCGTACCTTGATTAAAAAGTTGATTGGAGAGGGGAAAACATATAAAGAAGTGCAGAAAATGATAGACTGCTCAGCCAAAATGATCGCAAATGCTTTAAAATGGCAACCAAAACCTGAAAGACGTGGAAGAAAGCGAAAAACTACCATTCGAATGGATAGAATAGCCAAAATGGCAAGGACTCAGCCAACAATCAGCTCCAGGAAGATCAAAGAAGGTCTAAAGTTACCTGTGAGTACTGTTACAATTAGAAGACGCCTATGTGAAGCCAAGCTATCTGCAAGAAGCCCCCGCAAAGTCCCACTGTTGAAAATAAGACGTGCTGAAGAGGTTACAATTTGAAAAAGAGCACATTGACTGGCCTAAAGGGAAATGGCGCAACATTTTGTGGACTGATAAAAGTAAGATTGTTCTTTTTGGGTCTAGTGGCCGGAGACAGTTTGTCAGACGACCCCCAAACACTGAATTCAAGCCACAGTACACTGTGAAGACAGTGAAGCATGGTTGCGCAAGCATCATGATATGGGGTGTTTCTCATACTACGGTGTTGGGCCTATTTATCGCATACCAGGGATCATGGATCAGTTTGAATACATCAGAATACTTGAAGAGGTCATGCTGCCTTATGCTGAAGAGGAAATGCCCTTGAAATGGGTGTTCCAACAAGACAACGACCCCAAACACACCAATAAACGTGCAACATCTTGGTTCCAGACCAACAAGATTGATGTTATGGAGTGGCCAGCCCAATCCCCGTATCTTAATCCAATAGAAAACTTGTGGGGTGACATCAAAAATGCAGTTTCTGAGGCAAAACCAAGAAATAATGAAGAACTGTGGAATGTAGTCCAATCATCCTGGGCTGGAATACCTGTTCACAGGTGCCAGAAGTTGGTTGACTCCATGCAACACAGATGTACAGCAGTTCTCAGAAACCGTGCTTATACAACTAAATATTAAGTGATTCAAAGGAAAGCAAAATCTTCAATATATAAACTGAAAAATGTTTGAATGTTTGAGTTTTGTAAAGAAGAATACAAACACTGCAATTTTTAGTCTAATATTCACTTTTCTTCAATTGTTTTAGAGGAACAACACAAATTTGATATATTTTTCTTCATGTTTTGATTTGGAATAGAATGTGTAGTGTTCCCAATGCATTTGTGTGTATGGAAATAAAAGCTATTAGAAGGATTTTGAGCTTTATTCACTTTTTTTCAACACACTGCTATTATTTTGAACACAACTGTATCTAGGACCTTTTGCTGAAACCTTCAGGAACCCTTTTGTTTTGGCTGACACCATGAAGAAGAAAAATGCCAACCAGCACTTTTAGTAAATGCCAACAGAACTTTTAGGGGAAAAAAAATAATCTAGAAACCCCGTTGTTGGTGGAGCAGTGCCCACTGCAGGTTTCTATCTCAATCTCTAAATAACCAGTTTTAATGCAAGTTGGAATCTCAAAGTGTAAACCTAGTCAGCCTGAGAAGAATGCTAGCACAGGTCCTGCCACTACTACTCCTGGGGGTCTGAGATCATGTGCTCCCTCCCCTATGCCCTGCTGTCTTGTTGTCCATTAGGCAACCCATGCATTGAGTGTTTTTTTTTTTCTGTTGCACCAGTGGGTTCCTGCTGTGGTACTGTATTCTAACAGCGGGGAGTCTTACCGATTGTCAGAATACAATGATCAGTGTTGCTTACTATAGCTAATGGCACTGATTGTACAAAAAACCCAGACAGGCTGGTTGTACACAACTCAATCAATCGTGTACAGCAAGCCTTCCACACATGGATCAAAACTCAGGTGGTCCCTGCTGAACTGGCCAAATTTCAATCAATGTATGGCTGGCTTTAGCTTACATGAACTTGAACACCCCTTTAGGCGATTATAGCATTATCAGTGCATTTCCTTATCAGTAGCAGAAACAAATCTGAATTATACTATGAAGTTAAAAACAGAAGATAGCCCTGCTGACATCCAATGTCTATGAACCCACTGAACCTGGAAGAGTCACATCCAGGAGATTGTGACAGATCTAGGCAGCAAGGTCACACCTGCCATAAAAATGCAACAGTATCCCATTCAGAGATAAAACTGGGATATGTTCTGCCAAATCAAAATGTGAATAAAGCAATACAACAATGCAAATGCCTGAAGCATATTTTATCAATACTAAATACAACATGATATTTGAAAAATCCCACAAAAGCTTTATTTTTTCTTTTGTTGTAAAATACCCAGCAGTCAGCCATTATTCTGACGTTTCAGCCCTTCTCTTGTCTGGGTACCAACAGTGTGAAAGTGGCACAACCTGAGACAAGGCTGGAAGCACTGTGGGATCCCAATCTGCACCTATACTATTATGATTTTATATGTGTAGATCTGATTTATCTTCCAGCCACTGAAACGTACCCCCTCCCCACCTCCAACTTCAGGATTTTATTCTGTAAGAAACCAGTGTGGTTGAAACTACTACTAATTATACCACAAAACGTTCATCTGCTATCTCAATGACCGGCCAAACTCCCTTCAAATTCTGCAAGCAAGAGACCTAACCTGAATGTTACTTCCCATAATACATCAGAAGGACAGGTATTCAGAAGCATCAAAAATCTCTAGTGGTCACAGGGAGTTTTCAGCATCCGGAATATCTCTGAATGGTTAGCTCAGCATACAAAACTTTCAAATTTTGATATCTTAAATACCGTAATTGCTCAGCAAAGACTTGCTTTTCCAGGGACTAGTAAGAACTAGGCCTAGCTTTAGAGCCTGTATGAATTGCCCATGTTTCCATACTGCAAAATGCATGGACAGTCAAAAACACTTAAATTCTACAAGGCTTGTTTGCTACCTCATACATTAGCTCTTTAAAGTCTTGTGACCAAAAAACAAAACATTTATATTGTAGCTAATTAGCCCACTGACATGGCAACTTTTTTTTTTTTTTTTAGAAAAAAAAAACAAAAACAAATCCCTTGTCCCATGTTCACATGAGTACAACATACAGTGCAAATGCACTGAGCGCTTGCCTCCAGCAAAGGACACCAGACAGCACAAGCCAGGAAGCAGGCGCCTCGAGCCGACTAGTGACGTTTGTGGTTAGGAAGCAGGCACTACTAGCCACAACTGCCACTGAAGGATGACGTGTAAATAATGTGTAATCAGCCAGCACCGCCACCACTGGTTGCACACTATGAATGTTAACTTGTCAGCCCTGAGTGAAAGAGCCATTCATGTGGCAGCCACACATGGCAGAATGACCACACAGTCATTCACGATTGAACCAATAGTGCATATTTGCACTATACACCTGTATGCATGTAAAAGGTTACACAAACGCTTACATACGGAAAACATTTGCACAGGATCCAGTGTTGAAAGGCATATTTTATTTACACCCCTGTGCAGTAGCCGTATGAAGGTCCGGAGTTGCCTGGTGTGGTCCTATTTAAGGCTTTTGAATGAGATCCCTGCAAACCACAGCAAAAAATGTCAACGCACATGGCAGCATGCATTATAGTGCACAGTACAATGTCAATGAGTCCTCAGTGAGCACTCTCCAGTCCTTCTCTAGTCTGGAGGATGAGGGACAATATTTCTAGATGTAAACAATACTGAGATATGCTTTGTGTACATCTGGATTACAACCTCAAAGGTGCGTCAAAGTGGGAGAAGAGTAAATATCCTCCTAATCTCTACAAACACTTCCATATCTCTTGTATTAACTGGCCTGTGTTGGGAATGCTGCCATATGTGCTTGTAACAGCTTAAAAAATGCATAGCCAGGCCATATTGCATAACCTAATTGTTCATCATCAAACTGCATTGATCCCTAAACAAATAGACACAATATAGATAAGGGGAACTACATAGGTAAGAAGAACATTAGGCCCCGCTACTGGTCTCTAGCGCCTCTGACCTGTTGGTCTTAAGATAAGGACCTGGAATATACAGGCCGACAACCTGGAACGATGTGTTTTGGACAAGCGTGTGGTTGTGTTTTCAGGAATACAGTGGAGTAATGCCCAAAAGACTTAACAAGTCTCTGCCAACATGCGTTTACAAGTAAGCAGGCATCATTTTTTTCCAACCACCGTGGTCAGTGTGGTTACCTATACAGTTAAAATTACTGTAGATGAGAAAAATGTAATTTTCTATAAATTACATTCAGCTTAACCACTCTGCATCTAGGGAAAAAAAAAAAATTTTGGGTAGAAAACTAAAAGATTAGTTAACTTAAAAAATAAAAAAAAATTAAAAAACATTTTTTGCAGGAAAAAAAAACTGAGCTAGTGAAGAACTAGTCTGGGCGAGGACAGTGTTGACCCATGGACAGGTAAGTGTCCTTTAATTTTTTGGTTAGAAGCCTGGAGCTCCTCTTTAAAGTATCTATCCCCCAAACTTTTGTTTTTGTTTTTTTTAAACTTTCTGTTAAGGGAAAATGTTTTTTTTTCAACAGGAAGTGAGGTAAAATCTCCAAACCTGTAGTAAAACCTGCCAGGGGTTCGAATCTTCCCCCAATAAAAAAAAAATTAAAATAAAACGTTTTGGCTTTTGATTCACTTTGCATCAAGTGCTTTGTCTTTATTTGGTCCTCTAAGGTTTACTGGTCTGTTATGGTTTTTTGTGTTGCCTACTGGCGGTCACATGATCGGGAGTACCGGACTGTGTCCTGGGAACGCGCAGGGCGCATGCTCTCAGCACATATGTTTTTCTTAATTGCACGCAAATGTGCAGCCGCTTGGCGTCAAGGCCCAGACGCCGGGTGGCCGCACATTTGTGTGTGGCCGGCGCTAAGAGTTGTGCTTTTTTTTTTTAAATAAACAGTTCTTACCTGCTCTGTGCAGTAAAATTGCATAGAGAGGCCCTAAACCTCTTCTTCTGGGGTCATTCTCCTCTTCTTGGTGTACCCCCATTGCAAACTGCTTGCTATGGGGGCACACCTGTGGGCTTTCTCTACAAGTAGGTAACTTTAATGCAGAAGAGATAACGCATGTCTCTTAAGCATTAAAAATCCAGCCTGTTCGCCCATTTTCATTTTGTACATAAAGTTCCATTTAAAAACAATAGCTGCCTGGCTACTTCGTTTACCAGCAGGTTTTAATACTTTCTGAGCCACTCACCCAGAGAAAGTATGCAGATTAGAAAGTCAGGATAAAGTCACATCTGCATACATGTTCTGAATCAGACCCCAAAGTTATTGAGCAACCATGACAGCTAAGCACTTAAATAAAAAAAAAAAAAAAAACACAAAAAGAAGAAAGAAGCCAGCCATTGCAACCTCCATATTTTTTTACGTCACAGTCCCCCCCCACCCCAGGAGATATTCCAGTGAATATTTCCTCAGCTGTTCATCTGGAACATCAGTGTGTGTGGCAATCTGCAGCACAAGCAGCTGAGTAGCCGCTAATCTGCTTTAGACGGATAATGATAGTCAGAAATGGAGAGCTCATCCTGTATGACAGCACTGCTGATCTCAGGATAATGCTGCATAAGACAGGCATAGGAGTGTATCACACAGATCTGACACTAGAAAGTCATCGAAATGTTCAAGATCATGTCAAATTCGTTTATAGCATGTTTGACCCTTAGCATTAGTTTACACACACACTTGTGGTGGAGTAGTCATAGTATGGTATAAAGCAAACACGAATTACTGTGAAAATGTTTTTATTTTCCTCCAAGGAAAGAAGAAATGTTCCTCCTAACAGCTATGAAGGCCCAATACATGAGAAGCAGGATGTATTTTGACCCTTTTCGAGCATACAGATACCACACAACTGTGATCCAATCACTAGCTTGTTCTTGTACCACAATACATCAAATCTGTGATACTAATACCAAGTCAAATATCTCTACCAAAATCATACTATGACATCATCATTATAGCACTGATAAGGAAAACGGGACCGTTTATATGCCATGGAAGTTTGCTAATCCAAACTCTATCCTACTCTCTAGTCCATCCATAACATACCCCTGAAAACAATTCCACACTGATTCACCCACCTTTAAATGCTTCTGTGGCACCAGGAGCGTGGTTTTTATCTGGATGAAATTTTAGAGCAAGCTTTCTGTAGGATTTCTTTAAGTCATCTTCAGTGGCTTCTCTGGTTACTCCCAAAATTTCATAGTAGTCCTTACATTGCTTTACCCTGATGAGTGAAGGTAAAAACAGTCTAACATTTATTTCTGATAACATTACATAACCACCAGCCAGAAAAAAAAAAAAAAAAAAAAAAAAAAAAAAAAAGAATAAAAGCATAACAATTACAAAATATACAATAAATTAAAGAGCTGCTACAGCTAATTGTAAATATAACTACAGTATAGCATAGTGGAAGAGAACCTTGAAGAGGCAGAGAGCTACGTCACACTGTGAAGTGTGAAAAGGAAAAGATCTACCAATACGAGTCATGATTTCAGACTGTATTCAGAAGCAGTAATGATAAAACTGGGGAATAAGGAGGTAGTTTGGAGGCTACAACCGCTAGGTCAGGTGCTCCGCTCTCGTCAGCACCACTGTTCAGCCTAGGAAAGTTACTGATCAGTACAGGCGGCACACCATGGAGATACATTCACACATGCAAGTGGTGTGCAAAAACTAGAAGCAAGCCTTTCAAGCTGTACAGAACCAATCACAACAGGGAATTGTTAGACCTGGAAATGATGGCTTATGCAGATTAGAGGAAGAATCCGATGTGTATGCAATGCTGAGTGAGATAGGAAGCTACTGGGTGTTGTCAAAGCTATGCCATTCTTGTATTTGAATGACAGATACAGAGTATTGTTGGTAAGACACCAGAAACACTTTATTAATAGATAAATGGTAGGGTCAATGGGTACTGAGTGCCCATATGGGGATTTTATGAATATTTACGTATGTTTCTCAACTGTGTACTGAATGATTTTGTTCTTTTCCTGGACAGACACATAGCAGAATACATTTTGGCCTAAATTTATGACGAAATTAGATTTTTTAAACTGGATATGTTTTATAGCAAAAGGTCAAAAAATATTGTTTTTTTCCCCAAATTGTCGGTCTTTTTTTTTATAACGCAAAAAATAAAAATCCGCACAGGTGATCAAATACCACCGAAAGAAAGCTCTATTTGTGGGAAAAAAGGACACAAATTTCATTTGGGTGCAGCATTGCATGACCGCGCAATTGTCAGTCAAAGTAATGCAGAGCCGTTTCACAAAAAATGGCCTGGTCAGGAAGGGGGGTAAATCCTCTGGAGGGCAAGTGGTTAAACATGAAAAGCGCATAACATGTACTTCATTATTTCTGTTTTCCTGTCACAGCCCTCTGAATAAGTCTGGATCCGTGGGTGTGTCCACGGCCGGAGATTGTGAGGTGGAGTTGCGATGTCACTGGACACCCCTCCCAGCAATACATTTAAAGTGGGTACCTGAGCTATCCGTGACAGACCTTCATTTTCCAGACTCAGCCCAGAAGGTCTAAATGGGACAGCTGTTAAGGGTCCATGAATGTGTCTGGAACTTTTGGAATGTTGGCAACTATGATTGTCATGGTCCAGAGGAGCTGAACGGCAAAAAGTGAAAAGTGACATTATAGACACTCTCAGCTCAGAGCTCTGCCAGTCTGAGGCTGCAGGAGCTACACCCCCTGCAGGTGTGTCAATCAAAGGGGGGGGGGGGGGTGAGTGGCAACAATTTTTTTTCTTTTTTTAGGTGCTTCTGTTGCAATGCAGGGAGGGCTATTTCTTGTTATCTGGTGTGACGGGAGTGACTTTTGGGGGTGGGGGGGACCTCTGTGTCAGCTCATGTTCCCCTCATTATGTTTAATTCACCCTGTGCCTGTTAAGGGGTACAGGGTGTGAATGTCCTAGTACTGTGTATTGATGTGTTATCCTTTGTTCTCGGCCATGTGGCTGTCCATTGTCCTTTGCCATGTGCTGAGGCCCATTGCTCTGTGTCTTGGTTGGATGGGGCGGGCTGATGATGTGTTTCCTGTAGCCCTTCCCACTGATGGGGCTGGCTGATGATGTGTTTCCTCTTCCTGGTTGTGTTTCCCCGCCCTGTGTATATAACTTGTTGTTTGTGTAAAAATAAAAAAGTTGACTTCCTGTTTTAAGAAGAGTCTGGTGCTGTCTATTTCCTAAGGGATTTCAAGGGTGTGGTCCGTGGCTTTGTGTTCGAACAGGGAAGCTGCGGTATAACGGAATATACCCAAGTGTGGTCTGGGGTCCGGTTCCGTTACATCTGGGTTTACAACCACTTTAAACATTGTAGCATATATTTTATTTAAAAAATAAAACGTTAGGGGAAGAGGTCTTGATCAAGTACCAAAGCAGTTTGAGTCACCTTTTTACAGCTTCCAGCTGGTCCGGTGTGTAGCTCTTTCCAGTGTCTGCACCTGCTTCACCATTGGCAGCTGGGGTGGGTTCAGCAGCATTCTTCCGGAGACGTGGGTTTGGTGACTCTGTGCTTTCGGGCTGGCCATTGGCTTGGTTGGCATTTGTGAGGGATTCAATAAGCTCTACAAAAGACAAAAAAAAAAAAAAAAAACACACATAAAAAGGTAATTTCAGCGATTTCAAGACTGGATTTTCCCTGATCACTGAATGCTCTATAGGCTTGCATTGTGAGAAGCAGCAGCACATCCACTGTGAAATACTGCAAATCAGAAAAGACAGTATGCATGCGTAATGAGAAAATATGGATGTATGCACAGAATTGCAATGTTAATGTTAAAACAATGATAAGATTATGTACATCAAACTGATCCTTTAAAGGCTCATGACAAACGTTCCCTTTTTATCCCCATGGTAGCCAACATACTGTTAAAAGTATGAGTTTTGGACAGATCGGAGAGGGATTAGAACACCTGTCAGGTATTTATTGCGGTCTGTGCCCTGTTATGGAGATTCATTCTCTCTATTTGTTCTGTTTAAAATCATCACTGAAAGTAAAAGAAAACCCAAATTTTGGGCTGTCCACAGAACAGTAATAGAGGGGATATCTCCCAATGGGGACACTAGTTCCGGGATTCCATCACTTCAGAGGGATTTTCAACCACATCTTGTTTTGGCTATGGGACAGGAGGATGGATTAAAAAAAACCCTACAACCTTACAAGCGTTATAACCCTCCATAACTCTATCCAAATGTTTTAGAAATGCATTTCGTTCTACTTTAACATTTGCTTAACCTTATCAAATGTTAAAGCCCAACGGACCCCTTCAGTCTTATTAGTGTAATGTCGGTATGCTGCTTACATAGTAGTAAACATGGACATCTTGTTCACTTTCTCAGAGCAGCACACTGTGGAGCCAGACCTCTACACAACACAGAGCACAGCAGTCCCCCTGCTCCAGTCAATAGCACTCCCTTTCACTTTCTCAGAGCAGCACACTGTGGAGCCAGACCTCTACACAACACAGAGCACAGGAGTCCCCCTGCTCCAGTCAATAGCACCCCCTTTCACTTTTTTCTGCAGTAAATTGAAAGTAAACAAAAAATGTCCATATGTTTCACTGTATTTTCAGTCTGACTGCATCAACCATAAAACTGAAATGTTCAGCTGGGCTTTAAATATTTTAAAAGGTTAAACAAATGTTAAGCAATATATTGGCTACCTTGGGCATTTGTAAAGCGCAGATTAGAAGTGACTGGGACCTTCCACAGAATGCAATACCCAACAGGCAATCCCCAAATAGATCTGCCCAACAATAACTAATAGAAGTATAAGTATATCTGGTAGTAGCAACATTCATCTGGGCTTCTTCTGTAACGTTGAAGATATTTCACTTATCATCCTTGACATCAAAAGTAGGCCATGCACCTGACCTAATTTATCCAAATTAATGTTCAAGTATACAATCAAATGTTAACCACTTGACCTCTGGAAGGTTTTACCCTCTTCATGACCAGCCCATTTTATGCTCTGCAGCTTTGCGCTACTTTAACTGGCAATTGCTCGATCATGCAACACTGTACGCAAATGAAAGTTATAACTTTTTTCACAAAAATAGAACTTTCTTTTGGTGGTAAAAAAAATATTCACACATTTAGACCCAAATGTATTCTGCTACATGTCTTTGGTAACAAAAAAAAATCCCAATAAGTGTATATTAATTGGTTTGTGTGAACAAATTATGGTGTATATACTGGAATTTACAAAGCTATGACTCTATACTGGTAATGATGACGATGATCAGTGACGTATAGTAGGACTGTAGTAGTGTGGTGGGCAATCTGGTGCTATCAGACCCTCACTGGGAAGTACACTAATACAGTGATCAAATATAATACTGTGCACTGTAGCTGTACTGACACTGGCTGGGAGGGAGTTAACATCAAGGGGTTAACTGTGTGCCTAACAAGTATAATGTATGTAATATGTGCTGCTTTTACGTAGAAATCTGGCTGTTTTTTTCTACCTGCTTTTCAAGAAGAGCAGTCAGCCAGATCGCTGCTCTGTGTACAGAGTCCTGTGTGTTTGCAAACACAGGACTCTGTGCTGTGATTGGACACAGCTGATCAGCAGGCCATAAATCATTGGTGTCCAACCACAGTGTAGGTCAGCAGGGGGTGCTGGCCTCAAACCCAGAAGCAAGCCTGCAACGTTTATTTACACTGCTAAGCCTGCAGCTGAGTGACAAGTAGTTACATGATTGACCCGCACAGTGAATCAAACAAGTACTAGCTATGCTAGGGTACATCTGGGTCTGTAGTAATCAAATAGGTTGCTGGGACTAGAATTACACACAGGGCTCACTGCCTATTTATTTCTAAAGCAGGGAATAAACCCTGAGTATTTTGTTTTGTTAAACCAGCAGGTGGAATGAAAAAGAAACCTCGCAGATCCCTGTTTCAACACAATGTATATGCAGAGATCTCTCCCACTGTGCTATTGTATTCTGACAAGGGGGCTCCCCCCACCCCAGGTGGAATACACAGATCAGCCACTGGCTGCAAGTGCTTATGGAACTCTGGTTTTCCAGCATGACAGACGTCAGTCATTATTTATTTATTTCAGGTACTTTTACAGCGCCGTCAATTTACGCAGCACTTTACATATATATTGTACATTCACATCAGTCCCTAACCCTCAAGGGGCGTACAATCTAAGGTCCCTAACTCACATTCATACATACACATACTAGGGCCAAGTTAGACAGGATCCAATTAACCTACCAGCATGTCTTTGGAGTGTAGGAGGAAACCGGAGTATCCGGAGGAAACCCACGCAGGCACAGGGAGAACATGCAAACTCCAGGCAGGTGGTGCCGTGGTTGGGATTCGAACCAAGGACCCTTGCACTGCCAGGCAGAAGTGCTAACCATTTAGCCACTGTGCTGCCCTATTACAATGGCTGAACAGTCAGCAGTACACATATATTCCCATGTTTACTCCGGTTACCATAAAAGCACCTATCATTTTTTATTAAGAATTTACAGACTGTTACTACCACAAAAGAGCAGAGGCTGAAAAGGCAGGGCTACAGAATAAAAAACTGTTACATGAGCAACTGTCCAAAGTAACGTATTCAAATAATTCTATGTGGTTGATGAGAGTACAGCATTTCCACAGGTTTTTTTTTTATTTGTATTTTATTCAAAAACTGACTAGCAGAACACGGACCAGGGTTGTACCCACTATAACACCGTCAGGGGTGCTAACAAAACATATCTTTTATTCCCATGGTTTATGTGGTGCTACAACTGCTAAAGCACTATTGGGAGATGTCTGTTCCAGTTCCTGGTGCAACCGTTTTTGCTGGACAGCTTGGTCGAAAAATAAATATGGAGAAAAATAATAAAGGCATATAAATAAACTCATTGATAAACTGAATAATATCATAGCATGTATTGACCACACAGTTCATGATGTTTTTCACACTGCAATTTGTGATGCAAAGAATAGTTAAATAGGAAAACATTTCAGGTTTTTTTTTTTCTCAAAACAAAAAAAACCCAAAAAACTAGTGAGCAGTCCTCAGTAGGGCAACAGAAGTGAGCAGTGCCCTCTACTGGCTGAAAAATTCAACTCCAGAATCTTTGGCTTCATGCACTTTGCTGCACTGAAACTAGCAAAACATGCACTTTGAGCTACAATTAGCTTCCCACCTTTCAATAAACGATAGCTTGTAGAAGGGCGAGGCAGAATGACTATATGTTCTACACACAAAAATCAAGGAATACTACTAAGGACACATTAGTGGGTACAGTGACTGCAGGTTACACAATCCATAGCTTTAGTATCGGTGTTATTTATGTTAAATACTAAAGAATTTGAACAAAAAGTAAAGTCAGGTAAATAATTGCTGCATTTGAGTCTTTCACATTTACCACTTGCAGCCAACAGGTGGAGCATAATCAAGATCCCTCTGGTGCTTCTTTTTGCAGCGGTTATGTTACATTTAAACTTGATCAGCTCCTTCTACTAGCAGACACACAAAAGATTTATTTCTGCAGTAAAACATACAATATAATGGAACAGTTGGCAACTCAAGCGACTGTTCAGCGCCATGCAAACGTACCTTAACACACTTGCCCATATCCAGTTTTAGATGTGTTGCCAAACCATTCAACGCATGTCAACATGTACGTAGTAATGTACTGGAGATGTGGAAATTAAAAACAACAAACTGCTAGATGCACCACTGAGGGTAGTGTCAAGCTAAAGGTGGGAATACACGATTAGAAAATCGACTGATTGGTCACCTGACAACCAAGAGGCATTCATTCGTTGGTCGAAATCGTGGCCCACGTTAACCAATCTAAAAAAAAATCATTTGTCTGGCAATACATAGTGTTGACGTCTTCTGTACAAGTGGAAGTGATGCAGTGTGCATGTGACCTTGTAGCCACGCCCTTCCGACCAGAACGAGCGATATACACAATTACCAGCAATGAGTATAATATAGTTTGTTACATTAACTATAAACAAAAATAGTGATACATAAAATATAATCTGCAGAATTCTGGTTTCATCTCATTAGGCCAATCTACTTTTAACATTTGGATTTTAATTTTGTGTTTACGAAGATTCCTTGGACATAAACATCTGGGTCATCTTCTGTTTCCGCTCATGCGTGATAGCGCTTGACAGATTTTTTTCGTATGACTGTCATACCACCGCATAGAAAATCGGTCATTCCTATGCAAAACGACAACATTTTTCACTGTTGTTCAACCGGATTTTTTCATTCACAATATCGTTATTGGTTTAAAACATCCTGATCATCAACAAAGAGAAAATCGTTCCATCAGTGGTTCCGCAAAATTTTTCACACGCTTTTCTTATCGTGTGTACAGGGAATAAGTGTCTGGGTGTTAAATTCATGGTCTCTGAAGCAATCATCAGCTTACAGCAAATGCAGTGGGCACAAGGGTTGTTGAAATGCGTTGCTACAGGTAGTTTGTTCTGACACTTTTGTCCGTGGCAGTAAAAGGGACAAAAGGAACAAAGCAAATGGAAGTCTGCATGCTTTGCAGAGATATAATACATTTTGTTGCCTTGACATACACTTTCAT